CGTTTATATGTGCCAGTCGCCAGGTTGGCCAACCCTGTAAAGTACTCTAGTGGATCAGGGTTGCCATCCCGAAGAGTAGTTTTGAGATGTTTATGAGTACTATACTAGATGTTTCTGAGTGTGTGTGTGTTTGTTTTGTAGGAACAAGTCAGCCAAACAGTAACATAATACTGATATATTAATGATTTAAGTATATATTTATATATATGTATATATTATATCACGGGTGTAATATTAAAAATATGATCTATAATACTACATACACCTATATCTTCCACAAAGGACAGTATTCATTCATATATATAACGGGACGCTAGGAAACTAAATATTATCTACCTATCTACCTACCCACGTCAACACCGCGTTAAAGAGATGATTTCATTCATAGGAAATAGGACAACAATTGTCGCAATTTCACCTACTTACACTCGGTTCACATACATAGGATTGGAGTTTCCTCCTTCAACACAATGTTTGTAAACACTTAATAAATACATTGATTCATTCACATATTAATTCAGATGTCAAGAAATGCGTTCAATGATCTGTTGAACTCTTGTGCATATAAATGAAACATTGCGAAATAATATGAATGAAACGAGCTTCTAAAAATTATGAATGAACCATTAAGTCGCTGGGTTATGAGACTGGTTATTGAACCAGCTGACAAAGTAGTGAACATGAGCAGGAGTGAATGTGAGAGGCAAGTGAATATGCTCTAAAATGATAGTGAAATGAGTTCTGTGTTTACCTTTTACGTGACATGAGATCATACACTTTTTATGATATGAAACCCAAGTGAAAATGAGGCGAAGTGAAAGGAAAACAGCATTTATCATGATAAAGAAATGATCTTAAAAGTGAATATGTGTTACACAGCATGAGAAAGACATGATATGAGAGTGAGCGATAATGTGTAGTGACCAGGAGGACAACTTTGATGAAGGTGAAGATTAGAGAGACTGTAAGGTGAAAGTGAAGAGAATCCCAATTGAAATAGAAATATAGATCAAAATGAAAGGAATATCTCCACCAAGAAATATGGAAGGAGGAAACGAAAGAGAGAGAGAGAGAAAAAGAGAGAGAGAGAGAGAGTGGAAGACAACATAACACGTTTATCCCTGTTCACATACGCGTTACACGAGAACAGTGAGACAGATGAGCAACACAGCGCGAGGTGCAGCAGGTGTTAATGAAGTCAAAATCACAGGTGCGAACTGGAACAATAAACTATTTTTAAAGAACAGGTACACAGGTATGGTATTGTAAGGTACAGATAATGCACCAGTGATCTTCATATCACCTTTGTTATTAGTACAGTTCATTGACATTGTTCACCGAGTCTCCACGCGAACACTGATTATATATATATATATATATATATATATATATAGTATATATATATATATATATATATTATATATATATATATATATATATATATATAGATATGTCTAGGAGCAAGTCATGATTGTCGAGCGCACCGGCTGAAGCAAACACATGTATACAGGTGTGTGGCTGACTTGTGCCAGATATCAACTGTCCAAACACACGTATTTACAAACGTTGAGTGAGTCTCTTACAGAATTACAGCACCATAGATAATACAAAGTTCATATAACCTTAGAACACAGACGCCAGAAACTGTACAGAACTACATAGTAGCAGAATAGTTTGGTTAACTTGAGAATGTGGATGTGGTGCCGTGGGGAAGGGGGGCCGCCGCCCCTATACCGAAGAGGGGGGCGACGGCGGCCCACACTGTGAACCGCATGCGGCATGCGGTTCACAGCGTGGACTCTGTGATGGGTGGCAGGCTGGCCAGGTGGGTGGCAGCCGCTAGACCCAGGGTGGCAGTAGGGCAGAGGGCCCGCCCCCTGCCCAACCGCCGTCCCCCCGGCACCACGCTCTGCTATGACCGCGTGAACCTCACCGAAGAGAACCGCGAAGACTGCCGCTGGAAAGCCCTCTTACGGCCGCACAATATCCTCTTGAAGGCGTTGCGGAACTCCGGACTGAAGACGGTGTAGATGATGGGGTTGAGGGTGGAGTTGAAGTACCCCAGCCACAGGAAAGTGGCGATGAGATAAGGGTTAAAGTTGCACGACACGGTACAAATGGGCATCAGCACCGCCAGGATGAAGAACGGCAGCCAGCACATGACGAAGGCGCCTGTGATAATCCCCAGCGTCTTGGCTGCCTTTCGCTCCTTCCGCGACTCGAATTCCCGCCGCCGCAGGTGCCGCGGCACGACCTGCGAGGCTGCGGCGCCTGCGGCAGCTGCCCCCGACGTCGAATCCTCTCGACTGCCGTCAATCGGATGGCCGTTGAGAGTGCTGCCATTAGAAGTCTTCTCCGGCGAGGGCTGCGACGACATCCTGGTAAAGGTAGTCGTCTCGCTGATGGTGACGGGGCCGCGGCAGAGCGCAGACTGCGCATTGGTGCCAATCTTCCGCCTAATGCGCTTCCGCGCCGCCTGGTACACGCGCCAATAGAGCACCAGAATCACCGCCAGCGGCAGGTAGAAGGACGTGATGGTCGCGAAGATCTGGTAGCCCAGGTCCTGGGATATGATGCAAGTCTTATTGCGGAGGCGCTCGTGCCAATCAGGATCCTTCCAGCCCATCATGGGGGCGGCGGAGATCAGGAAGGACACCGCCCAGATGACGGCGATCATCCCGCCCACCCGCCGGGGTGACCTCTGGTGGATGTAGTCGACGTTGGTCACCGCCCAGAACCTGCGGGACAACAGTGGACTCAGTCACTGGTAAGTCAGGTTAGGTGGCAGTATATTGGTCTCAACATCTACATTTGTCACACATTTGTAAACATCTGGTAGATCACACACATTTGCAAACATTTGTATAGCCAGGTGGATAAGAGATAAGGTGGTAAAGGCTAGGGGGGGATCGAGAGGGAAGGGAAGGGACGTGGGGCGAGGGATAGACATGATGGTGAAGTGAATTTGCATGATATTAGTGCCCTTCATGCTATTTGTGTACAGGTTCAATGTTGAGTGTATTGACTTGCGAACAATTTTTGCTTTGGACCTAATGGTTTTGCTGTAATTTGGAAGTGAAATAAGCCGTGAGGCAAAAATCTCTTGACAGGAGATTTAGGGGAGCAGCTCCATGGCTTTACCTTCACCAGATCCTCAGGGTGAGGGGAAGGGGTGGGATTAATCAGGGGGGGAAAAGCGCCAAGCCATTACGACTATATAGCACTGGGAAGGGGGGGGGGGGGGTCAGGATTAGGATTTGGGGAAGGAATGGTGCCCAAGCACTTAATAGACGGTCGGGGATTGAACGCTGACCTGCATGAAGCGAGATCGTAGCTTTACCGTCCAGCCCAAGTGGTCAGGCAATTTTGTGTGTGTGTGTGTGTGTGTGTGTGTGTGTGTGTGTGTGTGTGTGTGTGTGTGTGTGTGTGTGTGTGTGTGTTGTGAGTGTCTCTTGAGTGCTTGCAAAATGTATCTCTCTTGAGTGCATGCTTATCTCTGAGTGAACACGTGTACGTGTGTGTGTGTGTGTGTGTGTGTATGTATGTGTGTGTGCGCCCGCGCGCGTGTGTGTGTGCTACTTATGCCTTGAGAGAACACAGAAAGCTGACGTTGTTCCAAACACTCTTCTTCATCTATCAGAAACTCAGCATTAAGAGACAAACACGTGATCAGTGCGGCTGTTGTAGCCCTCCCCTTGTTTGTCATCCATTGTTCGCGCTGAGTAAAGCTGTATTATGACTAGCAACTTGGGAATCTATCGTAAAATATAACGGGATTGTTTTATTCCGTCATTCATTACGTAAATTGGATTCCACGGGCTGAGCTAGTTGGGGGGATGGGGGGGGGGTGTGAGTCAATGTTGATGGATGAGGGTGTATTGGATGAGAAAGAAAAAGGGAAAGGGGGGATGGATGAGGGGGGTGTGTGTGTAGATGAGGCTGGGTTGGATGACAAAGAGATGGATGAGGAAGAGTTGGATAAGAGCGAGTTGGATGACGGAAAATTTAAAAAAATGTATATCTATCTGTAAACATGTACATTGTAGTGAAAAATATCAATTTGATTAATATGATATTCAATTTAAACACAATAATATGTAAGCCTAGTTTATAGGGATCTCCTGATATGGCATTGTAACATTCCATTAATATTAAAAAACATAAAATATATGAAACAATATATATGTGTGTAGTTATATATATCTATATATATATATATATATATATATATATATATATATATATATATATATATGTATATGATATATATATATCTATATATATATATATATATATATATATATATATATATATATATATATATCTATATATATATATATATATATATATATCAAGGCTTTAAAAAATGAAAAACTAAGTTTAGTTACAACTAGCAGACACGTTGTTGAATGAGGACTAATAAGTTGTGACTAATTTATAGTCACAACTGATTAAGTAATCTAAATAATTTATAGTTTTTATGCCAGCCAAATACTCTCACAGAAAGCCAGAATAAAATGCCATGATTTAACTATCCTAGCAATTCTGAAATGAAGACAGTGGTAAAAAAAATCAAATCAAAATGTATTTAATTAAACATAAACTAACATTTATATGCAAAGATTCAGGAAGTTGAGAGTGGAATTGAGAAATGATTACGCTGCGTTCCCGAGGAATTTGCATACGGTATTTGTCGACGAATAAGAAAACCCATCAATTTGCCAAGATAAAGATGATTATTTTCTTCTAGGGGGACATCTTAAGTTTAGATAATAAACAGAATATTTGTATAAAGTAAGAATCGTAAAATAAGACATATTGAGCTTTATCTCTGCTGGCAAATATGGTAAGTTTGACCAAAGACTTATAGAGGGGGGAATAAATGGCTTGTATGAAGGTCTGTGAGTGTTATGAGGGCGGGCAGAGAGGCCAGTCAGCTATGAAATTAATTCAGTCTCAGTTTAACAATTTTCGGGGTTAATTAAAACAATGTGAGAGGC